TTTATAAAGCATCAGCCGCCATTAACAATTATCAGCTGCTGCTTCTAGGGGAAACATCTTTTTTTTTGGTGCGGCTAGTTGCGCTGAAATTTCACATTGATTTATTAAAACATCGAAATACAGGCACTGACCAAACTAGAGTAGGATGAAAACTGGCAGCTACGTAGTGGGAGAGGGTGAGCAGTGAAATGCAGCTCATCATAGTGTACCAATGAGAATTTATCAACAGAAAATCATAAAATGCGTAAAATTGATACTCTCTAATTAAGTAATGAGAAATTACAATGAACTTCAAGTGTTTTAGCCGAAATGAACTGGAAATGAGGAAACGCATGACAAAACGCATGATCGCACCGGCTAGTCTGGTGCGAGTTGCCATTTATTAATATATGCCACGATTAGTATTTCCAACTTTAAGTTTGCCTTCAACCGAAAATCGAAAGAAAACCGAATTAGCATAGAGCGAAAAACAGTATCAGGGATTATGCCGTGTCGGAACCAATAGGAGTGTTTGTGCCTGAGAGTCTGTTGGAATTTTGGTTTCAAGCTCATGTGCCATCCTCTTCAACGCTTGCGATGAGGGCTATGCTCCCCACACTTGTAAATGAATTTATTGTCTGCTGTTGTAATATACTCAAACCACTTTTTTAGTCCTATATGGGAATGCCATGATATACTAAAAATCCTGATTCATTCAAAAAAATTAGATTTATCTCTCAGTATGTGTTCTCCCTTCTCTCTCTTTCCTCTGAATTCGCCTTTGCCTTTTCACGTCCTCGTTGCATGGAAGCCAGAGTGTGGTACCGTTACTGCTGAATTACATTATATGGTCGGAAAGCATAATCCTCTGGCACTGGTTTTGCTGCATATAAAAGCTCTACTTCTGATCTTTAAGTTAAGAGCAAGCCTGGAAGGCCTTTGCTACATTTTATATCTGTGAATGGAGGCGCTGGAAAAACGGCGTGCTAACGGATTGGATGGAAGCGAAAAAGCATTTCATGCTTCCGCCAAGAAGGATGTGAAGAGAAGAACTGGTCCGCTTATTGGGTAACTCGGTGCTGCTCTGCCAAGATGACAGTCTATCGCACTGATGCAAATGGCATCGATGTTTGTCAAAAGCTCAGTAATCTTTCAAAACTTTTCACATAAATCTGACAAAGAAATCTTCAGTAATGGTACTTCTTTGATAGAGTCGTGGCATTCGCCAGATCTGAACGAGTTATTCTGCCCAACTTTTACTATAGACTGATTTCCATATATTTCCCAGAATTGTTTTCCAAATATTTTCCAGGCGGCAAAAAATATTTCCCAGAATTGCAGCTCGTGAATCTCCTCTATCAACCCGCTTCGCAGCACGGTTCAAGCATAATGTCTTTTTAGACAACATTTGCTCCCTTCCGCTCATTTTTGCAGCTCTCCTGAACTGAATTCTTGCTCTTTCCAGGCGGCGGCGACTTTTCATTATCCAGTTAATTTTTGCATTCTCAGTGGTTGCTGGATCTTTTCACTTTAATTATTCACACATTCTGCGGTACATGAGCGTTTGAAGAACATTTGATACCGAAATTCATCAACTCTCCGAGCCAACTTGGTTCTGTTTTCCGGTTACAAATGCACAAGCATAGCAAAAATGAAAAAATTTGAACAAGGCCAGATCGGTAGCCCTCAATCAAGAATTTTGAAATTTGTCCCAGTTCTTTTGACAGATGCATGCCTTAATTCTTTTGACAAACGGTTAATTGATAAATGTTCAATACCTAACGGTAGAAAACAAGGGCATGGAAAAATAAAAAAAATAATAATGAGCACTAACGACAATAACAACAATAATAATAGTAAGGAAGCCTTCCTTCGTAAGCACTCACTATGAAAGGCGGAAGCAATTGGAAGTACTTCTATCGATGGCTCCCTTAAGGCTGTAGATAGGACCCTTTTTCGAGAGCTGCTTAAAAGTAAGTTAGTGGCGGGTTTGATTCCTGGAGATGCTAGCAACAATTAATATCAAAACGAAACTGCTTTAGTCATAGAGCGATTGGTTGTCTAATCTCAACCTTCAGTACGACAGCTGTGGTATTGCCCATTGTTCCATTCTCGTAAAAAACTGTGAAAGAAATAAACTGGGAAATGAGGACAGTGTGAATTAGCACTGGATAAGACCCTTTGCCAAAAGATTTGAATTGCGCGGCCCTTTTTTGAGTAAAAAGTGGATAAATCGAGCACAACTTTGATTTACTATTTGACGTTAATAAGAAAGGCGACTGCTTCTTAACGATTTTGCAACTTGCAAGCCCAGTCGAGTTGAAAAACCAGACACAGCACGATGCAGCCAACTGTAATGATAGCCACTGGCCACATCCGGATGGAGATAGGATGACATCGGCTAGAGCAAGCGAAAGCACCGAATATCCGGACACAGCCAAAACAGAACTGCCAGTGGTAGACGCTCACTACTTCCCCAGTAATTCTGCTTCTCAGAAACTGAATACGAAGGTGATTTTGAGTGAGAGTGAAAAAACATGTTTGTGAAGAACATTCTATCATATTCGATTCGAAACTGTTAAGCATTTCAGGGTATGTGGGTGTGGTTGGCCATGATCATGAAGCTCCGGGAACACTGCAAAGGACAAAAAAGCATTGGCACGAAAGCAGCAAACGGCAATTGAAGAATGAAGCAGAAGCTGGACGGACATTGGTCATTGAATTTTTCCCCCATTTTTGTTCCATTTTAACTTGTTTTGCTGAGGCTCTTTTT